CATACTTAAATATATATATATATATATATATATATATATATATATATATATACATATATATATATATACATATATATATATATATATATATATATATATATATATATATATATATATATATATATATATATATGTATACATTCATAAATATATATATATATATATACATAATATATATATATATATATGTATGTATACATATATATATATATATATACATATATACATATATATATATATATATATATATATATATATATATATATATATATATATACATTACGTATAACAACTTGTTCTACATAATATAACAAGTTGTTATGCGTAATATAGTTGTTAAACATAATTAAGTTGTCTAAAAGTAATATACTTGCATGTGGTCATATGAGACAAAAAACCGCACGCCTCTCCTGGAAAAGCTTGATATATATATATATATATATATATATATATATATATATATATATATATATATATATATATATATATATATATATATATATATATATATATATATATAATATATATATATACATAATATATATATATATATATATGTATACATACTTAAATATATTTATATATATATATATACAGGCTTCGGCAGGAATAAAAACCGTACGGGCTATGAAAAGCCCGTCTTAAATAGACTTGGCGGGCTATGAGGGCCGCCCGTCTAGATGGTCTTGCACGGGCTTTTTTAAACTTTAAAAAAAGTTCTAAAGTTTGAACTTTTTTTTTTAAAAATTTGTTAATTTCTCTTCTTCTTTTTGAATGAAAATGTCATTGAATATTAAACATTTTGTGAATTGCACTAAAATAATATGTTAGAAAGCGATTAACTGTTTAAAATGCTTAATTACTTAAGTAATTAAAACACTGCAGTAAATGAGTTGGATAATACTTAAAACTAAGATTTCAATAACTGTTTTTCAAAGTTTTCACTTGCACAGATCTAATTTCGTTTCACGTGGGTTAGTTGTTATATGGTTGCTTTTGTTTAGATTTCTTACTCAAAGGAACTTTATTCAGTTATTTATGTTGTTTTTTTTAATCTTTATTCCAGATAATATCTGGCAGATATAGTCAAACGAATAAACGTGAAAACGACGGGAAAAATCCATGAAACAACCATGGCGTTTCATCACGTTTCCTTATTCAAGCATCCTAACGTGTTTTTTTACCGAAGTTCTTTTGAGTATATTTATATATTATTGTTTTATTCAAGTATTCGATTAAATTATACAGGTTTTTATCGTGCTTTTTTAGTTCATTCGTTTTTCTTATTCTTTATGAATAAAAATATTACATAATATTTTCAAAATCTAATTTTTTTAATTATTCAGCAAATAGTTTGATTTTTTTTTTTTAACCTTGAATCAATGAGCTCGATAGTTTTAGAATTGTTTGGTATTAGCTTGGTAATCTGATACGTAACTATGTTATTTTTCAAATTCAATTATTTATATACTCTTGCATTCTATTGGGCGTGCAAATTAAAAACTTAAACTGTTATTTATATTTTTATAACTTTGCTTTACCTTTGCCTATCCTGATCGGAAATAGTTATTCTGATACGTGATTAAAAAATTTGAAATCTAATTTCTTTTAATAAAATAAGTTTTTATTTAGAAGTACTAATAATTTCTTAAGATACCGGGGCTTCCGTTACTTTATATACAATATAAGCATGTATATAAGCGTATGTATGTTGCTAGCTTTAACGTTCGTAGTGCCCTCTATAAATGCTAATGCTTTTGATTTTGCTAGACCTTTTAACTCGCGAAGCAATTCTTTTTTATATTTTATACAAACCATACACCATATCTTCACAACAAAAATTGTTCCATTCTCCACCTCAGTTTCGTTTCCACAGACTCCATCTTTACCCCACTCAAAAATTTTGCTAATGTAACTCTTCTACCAGATGATGCCATTACTATCTTTACTGAAAAACTTGAATAACTTGAAAAACTTGAATGACTGGATAACTTGAATAACTTCATAACTATAAAGCAACACTATTTATATTATCTACAAAAATTAATTAGACGTTTGTTGATTTTTAATGAGATATTTCATTTTCAATAACGAGTTATATAATTGCATATTAAATAAACTGCCGTCTCTTTAAGAAAAAACGTGAAGTTAACGCGGAAATATCACTTTAAATGTCTTTAAAGTAAGACAAACTAGTTTATCGGAAAAAAGCGAAATACATGGATAATTAGTTTATTATCGTTATTATTATAGACATTGAAAAACCAAAACAACATGGTACTTCTTGTTCATCACATGTGTATATTTCCCTATTTAATATAATAGTTATTAAATTTTGAACATAATATGGTAACTGTTTGGTATTATATCAAACAATTATCGTCGTTTAAAAAACTGTAAGATTTAGTTATATTATTTTCTACATCATGTTATACAATAATGATTAAATTGTTTAATTTTTATATTTAAATACAAACAACTATAAGTTGGAGTTTGCTAT